TATTTCGGAAAAATTGTTTTTCGGGAAATTGATTTGGTATTCGAATTTCACGATTAAGACTTTTCGGAATATTGCTCTGTGTTTCGAATTTCAATATATTTTTGGAAGCAATTCATGTTCTCCCGAAGATACAATATACGGTAACCTGATATTTAATCAAAATATTTATATACAAATTACTATCTTGCTTGGAACTACTGTGATAAATATGTTTTTGAAATTAATTTCGTCTATCTTCTTTGTTCAATAGGCAAGCGTTTAGTAACATCTATGAGATGCTTCAACCCGGCGGAACCGTGTTTATACATTTGGTAGCCTCTCATGATATATTTGATGTTTTCAATCAATTATCGCAAAATCCCAGCTATGCTTCCTACATACCGGTGAATATTTTTTACACTTATATATTTTACNTTATCTTCTTTGTTCAATAGACAAGCGTTTAGTAACATCTATGAGATGCTTCAACCCGGCGGAACCATGTTAATACATTTGGTAGCCTCTCATGATATATTTGATATTTTCAATCAATTATCGCAAAATCCCAGCTATGCTTCCTACATACCGGTGAATATTTTTTACACTTATATATTTTACTAATTCTCAATAACTCCTCATTATAAATTATTAATTATTATCTTCGTGTTTACAAAGGACAAGAAAAGGCTTGTATCGCCATTTCAATATTCAACCAATCCTCAAAAAGAGTTGAGAAAAATAGTTAGAGACGTCGGTTTCCATATTCTTCATTGTAGTCATCGGGAAACAACCACTATGCATATAGATTCGCACAAATTTCTGTGTAAGTATATTAATAATAATAATAATATTAATACAAACACCTGCGGAAAATTAAATCTTATATCAAAAAATCGAAGAAGAAGCGATAAGTGGAAGTATCCAGTAAGTTGGGTGGAAACTGATCATCCACTGGATCATTCAGACCGATCTGGAAGATGGTTTTCTAAGCGTTTACTTACTGCTTTGCAGAAATTAAAAGCTTCCCGCAAGTTCCCCGCACGTTATCTTGATATGTAATTGTTCGCTTCGTGAACGCTTTCCCGAGTCGAAATTTTAGTTATAACATTATAAAGAAATATAAGCATAAACATAAAGACATCGTTAGGGTCATTGGAATCAGTGCTAACTGTTCAATCATCGAGGTTAAGCAGCGTCAAACGCAGTTAAAAGATGAATATAGGTGATCGCCTGCCGACAAATTTTTTTTTCTCCATGTATGCACCACTCGCAGAAAGCTCTGCGAAAATTTGTGTCCGCTTCTTCCTAATGCTCCAAGTAAACCATAATCAACTTCTAGCAAACTACGCGACTGCTTATGTTAGGTTTGAAATACTTTTCTATGCAATTTATCAGATGCTTGAACATATGATTACTAAACATTCCGAAAATTTCATTTTCGATTGGGAAATCATTACAATTGATATAATACATTTTCTTTTTGTATCCTTCATCCGTAACTAATTTATTTAAATTTCGATTATATATATTAACAAGTCTGATTATTTTGACAGCTATGATAATGTCCTTCATGTCGTTTTTGGATTACATGCCGCAAAAATTGAAGACAGAATTTAACGAGGAATTCGAGAACGAATATATGAAGAGAAAAGTGATTTTTAAAAGACGTCAACATAATGAGGAGCAAACGATCATATTAGATATGTATCGAGTTTTAATAGTTTATGCACAAAAATGAAGATCGCATACGCAGAATTATCGCAGCATAAAATATGCAGAATTCATTGACACATATCGGCATAAATTAAAAAAATTTTTAGAAGATAATAGTAAAGAAATTCTTATGGAATCTGTTTAATGTATTGTATTACGATATTATTTATGAAGTAATTATCATATTTATTAAATTAGATATTAGATTATTTATTTATTTAACTCTAATTTATGTTTCTGTACTCATCAAATGTGACGAAATAAAGTTATTATTACATGTGTAACAATGTGCCGTTCTTTCCTATGTCATTTTCTATTTTGTGATAAATATAATTTTTGCGTTTTTGTTAAGTATATAACTCATCTAATATATTAAAACGATTAAATAAAAATGTGTATATTTTAATTAACAATATATTACGCATTTGAGTGGAATAATGAAATTATTATGTAAGTCCATTAATTCTTTATAACACGAGATACGTTGACCCGCCATCGTCCAGGGATAGGTTTGCGATTATTGTATGATTTAATATTTATTAGTCAGTTCTTATCCTAACCTTACGCCAAGAACGAGAAAATAATGGAAATGTAAACAACGACTAATATGTTGCATAAGAAAAATTATAGCAAAGGAAAATATCATGACTACGACGGTGTCTGAATGTTTACGCAAATGAACAACAAGCAAAACCAAATCAATAATCAGGGACGTTTTGCTTTCAACGACGAATGTGGGTTAGTGAAACTTACAAACCGTTATAAGAGCCAAGTGGTGCTTCCTTAATTTAAGTACGTGTAATAAATATGTGTAATAAAAAGAGAAAAGAGTTTTATGCAGTCTTGATAATTTTGAATAAAACCAAATAATGTCTAAAAATATCGCCCATTAAAATTAATATAACATAAACTCGATGGCATTAGGTTTATACAGACAAGAAAGTGATTTTATGTGAACAAATATGTCAAACGCATGGAATAAAATTCATTCATACGACCTATTGTGTTTGAAACTGTTGGGATACGGCGGGTTGAGGATGTACCACACTCGAGTTACACGAACGAAAGAAATATTTTTATTCGTTGACACTGCGCGTATACAATTATAAGAATCAGAAATAATGAGGTGGGTTAAACATGAACCAGTGTGCATGCGACCAAGCAGTAGACTAAAGGGGAGAGAACCAAAAAAGGGATTTGATAGACCTCCATCTAGCGACAAACATTGTCATTCCAGTGCTAGTCACCGGCTGTGCACAAGCATGCATAGATATACCATTCCGACAGAAACAATATGAATTTCTTTTTGAATTTTGATGATGAGGAACAATTAATTTGTGA